CCGCTCCTCACTCGCTGGCCCCTCCGCTCCCCCGCAGGCGGCGCTGCTCCCCGGGAATCACGTGCACAACGGCTGCGCGGCGGAGCCCAAGGCGTCCAGGGAGCTGCCGCCGCCGCCCCCGCCGCCGCCGCCCCTGCCCGAGGGCCTGAGCTCGCCGCCGCCCGCTCCGCCTCTGCCCTTCGAGGGCGCCGGCCCCGGCTGCGGGCAGCGCCGCTCCTCCTCGTCCACCGGCAGTGAGTAGGGGCAGGTGGAGAGGCGGGAGGAGAGACCTAGACAACGCCCCCTCCCTGCTGGGACTGCCCCAGCGCCCCTTCTTTTCCTACTGCTCTTCCTACAGCCCCTCCCCTCGGGGAAGGCTCTGCCGCGCAGGCCTGGGCTGTGTGACCTGGGGCAAGTCTCCGTCCCTCTCTGGGCCTGCCTCCCATCCGGTGGGGAGGCCGCAGGGTCTGGTGGCGGCTGCCTCCGGTGAGCGGGAGCTAGAGGGGAGCTCTGACAAGTAGAACTGACTTCAAGGAGGCAGGGCTGCGGCCCCCTGCCCCCGCCTCGGTCCTGAGTCTCTCCTAGCCCCCTTCTCGGGGTCTTCCAAGCGAGCTCCAGCCCTGAGCCCTTCCCAGGGCAGCACAGACTCTCCCAGCCTGCGAGGCCTGGCTATGGGGGCAAGGCCAGTGACCCCGCATGCCTGTCCCTGCTGGTGCCTCTTGGGCATCCTTTTGTAAGAGCTGACGGTGGCGTTCTCTTCTGTAGTGGGGGGCAGTCTCCTGCTCACCGGGCTGCTGGGAGGCCGGAGGCGGGCCCAGCCCAGCCACGCAGGGCAGGGACCATCAGGGCGCCTCCCAAAGCTTCCTCTCCCTGACTAGGATGCAAGGGCACAGGAGGGTCCCCTGTATTGCCTGGGGTTCCTAGGGAGCCCCAGCCCCTGCAGATGCCAGCTCAAGGTCAGTTCCCCCATCTGCAGCCTGGAGGAGGCCTGCGGCTAGGAGGAGAGGGTAGACCTACTCCAGCCCAGTGCCAGGACGGAGGCCCTGCTAGGGGACCAGGGCTGGGGCCCCAGCAAAGCTGGCCACTGAGCAGACCACCCTTGTGGATCCAGGGCAGCCCGAGCCAGGGTCCGATGGGCTTCAAAGTTCTCCTCCCCTCACCCCTCCTCTGCACGTCTCCCTTCCCGGCTCCTGCCCGCCCCTCCCGCCCTTCTCTCGCTGTCCCTGCTCTCCCAGCCTCACCCCAGCCCCTCCCTCTTCTAACTCCACTGTCACTTCTCTCCTCTCGGTCTCTAGAAGTGAGAGTCCTGAGGCACAGGAAGAGTGAGTAGCTGCGTTCACGCTCCCGCTGAGGCGCGGGGTTGGGGGACAAAGCAAACGCTCAGGGAAAGCAAGGCCCCAGGGACGAGGGACCTGAGGAACGGGCAGAGTGAGGGTCCTCAATGCCACAGGCGGGGCCTCTGCCCTCCACCTGCCCCCTTCCCCCCACCACGCCCACATATACAAATTCTTGGCCTGGCTGATGGGGCTGGCCCCATACCTTTCCCTTTTTCCTCCTGCCCACACTGCTCTGGGACCCGCCGCCGAGGGAGGCCAGGGGCTGCTGGCCTGTCCCCCTCACCCAGCCCGGACCCCATCCTTGGGCTCTGAAGTCAGCCCTCCCCAACCCCAGTCACCTCCGCTGGCCTCGTGGAACATGCAAACTCCCGCCGGGCATTTGCATGCTCCCCGCCTGGCCCTCCTTCTGGGCAGCACGCTCCGTGTCCTCGGGAAGGGCTCCGCTGTCCCGGGTCCCCAGAGCTGAGAGAGCTGAGAAGCGCTTTGCCATAAGTGTGCTCCGGGCTTGCACCCAGTGTGTCTGCACGCGCGTCTGTCTGTGGGTTTGGGGGCGGGGCTGGCTGGGCTGTGGTATCCAGGGTTCCTAGTCCGAATGGCCAGAGAGGCTCAGGCGACTCAGTCCAAGGGTCACTGGGCTTTGCTGATGCAGAGAGGGCCGGAGGCAGACTCCACCCTGGCCAGTGGAGCCAGGGAACCGGGGGGACAAAGGTCGGGGGGCTGGTCCCAGGTAGTGTTTGGGAGCTAAGCAGTCAATGCCCGGGTGGAGACGTTCACTCAAGTCCCCAGAGCCAGCCCACGAGCCATCATGGACTCCCAGGGGCCTCCAGGTGGGGGCCCCACGCCCCAGCGTGAGTAGGGTTGGGAGAAGGGTGGGGGTGCAGGACTGCCAGTGAAGGATCTGGCTCTGGGATCCCCGAGAGCCGAGCCACCCACCAGGCTTGGGATCTGGAATGCTGCCCTCTGGGCCCGAGGGGAGGCTCCGGTCGATCGCCTCCTGACTTGGGGAGGGGACAGCAGAAGGGCAGGTCCCCCCCGGCCCCCACCCCACCCCTTGCCAGCGCCTCCTCTCCTGCCTCCCCCAGGCACCAAGTCTTTCAACATGATGACCCCGACCGGTGACAACGCGGAGCTGCTGGCTGAGATCAAGGCTGGCAAGAGCCTGAAGCCCACGCCTCAGAGCAAGGGTCTGACCACCGTGTTCTCCGGCAGCGGGCAGCTGGCTTCCCAGGTAGGTCGGTGGTCCGAAGGGGCCCCGTGCTGGCTCCCCCCACCTGGCTCCCCTCGCCCCTGCCGGTGCTCAGCCCGCCACTTCTCCCCATAGCCTGACGCGCAGCTGCCGCCAGTGTCACCAGCGCCTTCCCGGCCCCGGAGCCCCACCCCTCCAGCCGCAGGGCCCCAGCCGCTGCTCAATGGCAGCTTGGCGCCGGCGCCGCCCGCCACCCCCGCGCCAGGGGGTGCAGCTCGACGTGGAAGCGCTCATCCCCACGCACGACGAGCAGGGCCCGGCCCATCCCCGAGTGGGAAGCGCCAGGTGATGGTCCGCAAGATGCAGCTGAAGATGCAAGAGGAGGAGGAGCAGAGGCGGAAGGTGGGCCGGGTTGGGGCTTCCCAGAGGGCCCTGGGGTCTGCACCTTGGGCCCACAGCCCCTCCTTCCAGCACCCAGCCTGCAGGGCCCTGCAGCCTCAGGCAACTCCCATTACCTTTTGGGGCCAGGCAGCCTGGGACCTTGTAAACATGCTCTTCAGGTTCAGGGGCTCTGGTGGGGCTGAACTTCTGCAACGGCCCTCAGGGGGAGGCGGACCGTGCTGTCCAGGGACCACACTCTGAGTAGCCCAGAGGCTCTCGGTCGTAGACTGGCCCGGGCTCTTTCCCTGCATTCCCACCTTCCAGCCTCATCCAGCCTCAGTTTCCTCATCTGTCAGATGGGTTGATCATCACTGGCTGGCAGGATGTTTGGCCATCGACCCATTTAACATGTTCCCCGGGCGGCGTCTATGTGCCACACACATTGTAGTCTCTTGGGATTCATGGACTATTTCAAGGTCTGCTCCTGAGGGGGCTGCAGGAGTGGGGCCGAGGGGTCAACCCAGCAAGCAAGCACAGCACCTCAGTGGAGTGAAAAGCGCCCCCACATAACTGGGCTGGCGCAATATGGGCATCTCTGTGGTGGAGCATGCAGAGGGCTGGGGCAGCCCCAAGGCTCCATCCTGTTTGGGCTGGGGGCGGGGGTGGGAAGGAGACAGTGAGGTCTAAGGTAGACTTGGAGATGAGAAAGTGGTGGACGGGAAGCATGGGGCAAAGAGCAAGCAGGCAGGAGAGGGGAGGGCTGGGAGTCCGTGGGCGTGGCTCCGTAACTGCTATGGAAGGAAAGGGGTAGAGCTGGGGATGTGGGGGGTAGTCTTGAGAAAATGGACCTTCTCCTGGAGCAGTGTGTAGTCTGGAGGGGGTAAGGCTGGGAAGTGGATTTGTACGTGGGGATTGTGGTGGGTCAGGATGAATCGGGAGGGCTGTGAGGAGGTGAGGGCAGCCCTCCACCCTCCACCATCCAGCCTGGAAAAGCCTGGCACTAGAGTTGCAGCCTAGCGGTGACGAAAGGCGAGGAAAAAATGTAAGAACGGCCTGGCAAGCCCAGCTCTACAAACTGTATTATTACTAACGGGATGTGAGGGGGTGGGAATAGGAGTGGAAGCCACAGTTTCAGCCTCTTTTTTAAAAATATATTTTTATTGATTTCAGAAAGGAAGGGAGAGGGAGAGATAGAAACGTCAATGATGAGAATCATTGATGGGCTGCCTCCTGGACACCCTCTACTGGGGATGGAGCCCGCAACCCAGGCATGTGCCCTTGACTGTTATCGAACCCGGACCTTTCAGTCGGCAGGCTGACGCTCTGTCCACTGAGCCAAACCAGCTAGGGCAGTGATGGCGAACCTATGACATGCGTGTCAGAGGTGACACGCAAACTCATTTTTTTGGTTGATTTTTCTTTGTAAAATGGCATTTAAATATATAAAATAAATATCAAAAATATAAATTTTTGTTTTACTATGGTTGCAAATATCAAAACATTTTTATATGTGACACGGCACCAGAGTTAAGTTAGGGTTTTTCAAAATGCTGACACGCTGAGCTCAAAAGGTTCGCCATCACTGAGCTAGGGCCTTTAAGAGCCTGTGGTTGGGACTAAAACACTGACATGGTGGACAGAGAGGGCTTGGGCCACAGGATGAGAAGGGGTCATCAGTGTGGGGCGAGGAGAGGCCTCTTTGGGATCTGGCCTCAAAGTCGCAGAGCTTGGATGAGGTGGGAGGGCCGCCTTGCGTCGCAGCTTCAATGCCTTTTGCATGTTCTTCGGTGGTGTAATGAGCAACCAAGCCAGGCACGGAGCCGTCGGCCCGCCCTGCCTCTGCAACAGCACCCAGCGACCGGCTGTGTCCCCGCCAGCGACCCAAGTGGACACTGCCCAGCGCCCGGAGCGGCGGCCTGGGCCGAAGCCTCGCCCAACGTAATCGCCCGCCGGCCAGGCGCGGCTCGTCCCTGCAAACCCAGCCCCGCGGAGCCATTACACCACCTGGGACATGCAAAGGGCGCCCCCCGGCGGCCGCTGCGGGAGCTGGGCCAGAGGGAGACCCGCCTCCCTCCCCTCTCTTGTCTTCCCCGCCTTAGCTGACAGCCGCCAGCTCGTGCTGCTACCCCCGCGAGGGCTGGAGGTACTCCCGCGAGTACAACGGCATCCTCGGGCCCTTCGGCGAGCTCATGACCGAGGCCGACATCCTCCGCATCGAACAGCAAATCGAGAACCTGCAGGTGCTGCACAAGGCGCAGAAGCTGGAGGCGCGCCTGAAGCAGCTGGAGCTGGAGCTGGAGCAGCTGCTTCCCATCTCGGCCGCGCTGTCGGCGCCGCGCTTCACCGTCGACCCGCGTCGCATGCACGGCCGCGCCGCCAGCCTGCCCGCCTGGTGCAGCAAGATCTCCACGCTGCTCAAGAGCATGGCCACGCTGCTGGCCGCGCTGGGCGGCCGGCCCACGCACCTGGCCGAGCTGCTGTCCGCCGACACGGGCCAGTCGCTGGTGCCGCTGCCCGACGCGCCCCTGGCGGC